TAGTAGAGACGGGGTTTCACCATGTTGACCAGGATGGTCTTGATCTCTTGACCTTGTGATCCACCCGCCTCAGCCTCCCAAAGTGCTGGGATTACAGGCGTGAGCCACTGCGCCCGGCCCTAACCATTTCTTATGTGTGTATGTATTTCCCAGCCAGCTAATACTTCTTTGTTGGACACTAATGTGGCTTATACTTTTTTTCCCCATGAGTTCTAAATAGAGTAGGACACAAAGATGATGGAGGTTCATTCAAACTGTACGAACAAACTGAACATCTCATCTCTTTCTTAGTTTTGTGTGTATATGTGTGTGTTTGTATTTGTCCATGTGTTTGTATTTGTGTATGTGTATGTATGTTTATCTGTGTGTTTATGTGTGTCTGTATATGTGTATATGTGTGTATGTGTATACACATGTGTGTGTTTGTGCGTATGTGTATATGTGTGTTTGTGTGTGTAGATGTGTATATGTGGGTTTGTGTGTGCATGTGTGTGTGTGTATGTGTATATGTGTATAGATGTATATATGTGTGCATGTTTGTGTGCTTGTGTATATTTGTGTATGTATATATGTGTGTGTTTGTGTGTATATGTGTGTTTGTGTGTGTATTTGTTTGTATGTATGCATGTATTGTGTTTGTGTGTGTGTATTTGTGTGTATATGTGTGTGTTTCCCTTTAACTTCTTCGAGTTTCAAGTCTCCTAAGGCTGTCCTCACAAAACACCACACGCCCCTTCCTCGCCTTTACCTGTGCACAACGACAAAGGCTCCGGGGGTCCAGGAAAGAAAAGATGTATAAAGATAACACCCTTGGAAGCTTGGTAGTAAAGTCCAGGGCTTCTGCTGGAATTTTCTCCTGAAGCTTTCGACAGCAGAACTTTTGCTGGGACAGCGAGCAACGCTCCAACAGGCCCGTTAGGATTCTTCTTCTTTGAGAGTCTGTCCACTTGTCAAACTGAAAACACACAACAAAACAAAATGTAAAAAGCTCTAGGTTTAGTCTGATCGCAGATTCATTACGAGTGAGAGATGAGAATGCTATGGGAAGCGAGTTTAGTGGTTTATTTCTGGCGCAAATCGAGTATTCATTTCCCTCATCAGCAAACTCCGTGCTTTGCCATCTTCCTGTCTTCTCTCACATGTATATGGGGGCATGTGCATGACCTAAGTGTGCACACAGAAGTGCGTGTGACCTCAAAACTTACAGTCACTGGCCGGGCACAGTGGCTCACGCCTGTAATCCCAGTACTTTGGGAGGCTGAGGCGGGTGGATCACTTGGGTCAGGAGTTTGAGACCAGCCTGAGCAACATGGTGAAACCTCGTCTCTACTAAAAATACAAAAATTAGCTGGGTGTGGTGGCACACACCTGTAATCCCACCTACTCAGGAGGTTGAGGCAGGAGAATTGCTTGAACCCGGGAGGTGGAGGCTGCAGTGAGCTGAGATCGTGCTACTGCTCTTTAGCCTGGGTGACAGGGCGAGACTCCATCTCAAAAAAAAACAAAACTTGCAGTCACCCATGTAAATTGGGAGACGGCCATATTCATAAACTAAGAATATATCTGCTTATAAAAGACAATTCCAAAAGAAAACAATACACAGCTCCTCCCCCCACAAATAGTTTCTACATTATCCCATCAGTGCTTAAAACAGCAGGACCTGAAACAAACCCTGTATTCACAATCGGATAAAGTATCACATGCAAATATCCCTCAGAAGGAAAGTGTATCAGGGTAAATTCTCACTAGTGTGTAAATGACTGACATGATGGGAGAGGGTGTGCTGAAAAAGGAGGACTTGAAGAGAGGACGTAAATGCCAAAGGAAGCCACGGTACGGGCAGCAATTGGCGACTTCACAATTTTCCTCGGAGATTCCCCTGAACAACACCCAAAATCAGGGAATGACCAAGGATGAGCAGCTTGGGACCGGCCAAAACCAAAAGAAAGGAAGGGCAGAACACCTGCCATCTCAGTGAGCCACTTTACTGGAAGTCTACATCTCTCTTTTCTTCCCTGGCCCACTGGGGAAGAGAAAATAGGGAGGTTAGAGCTGGTTGTATTTTTGTATATGATTGCATTTCACATACAGATATTCAGTACAGTTATTATAACAGAATTTTTTTTTTTTAGCTTTGTCACCCAGGCTAGAGTGCAGTGGTGTGATCTCGGCTCACTGAAACCTCCGCCTTCTGGTTCAAGTGATTCTCCTGCCTCAACCTCCTCAGTAGGTGGAATTACAGGTGAGCACCATCATGCCCGGCTAATTTTTGTGTTTTTAGTAGAGACAGGGTTTCACCATGTTGGCCAGGCTGGTCTCAAACTCCTGACCTTGTGATCCGCCTTTCTTGGCCTCCCAATGCGCTGGGATGACAGGTGTGAGCCACCACACCTGGCTATAAACAGAATTTTATAATGACTTTTAGTTGTAATCATAAAATACACTGACTACCTAAAAAGGCATATAAAGTGAAAATTTACTTTATGCAAGCCTTAAAACAAGTTAACTCCATTACAGTTATACAATGTATTTGTAAATTTTATTTGATGGTTTTTTTCTTTTTGGCTTCTCAAGGGTCAATCTGATATTTTTTAAATTAGTAGTGTTAACAAACAAAATTTCAACAAATTGCGTTTAAAGATCTAATTGGCTTTTACTAGTGATTCGTGAATCAGGTAGCAACCCATCAAAAGAACAGATAACAGCTAAGCAAAGGTGGTTGGTCGGCTTCAGGGGCAGAAAAGGATTGAAGAAAGCAGGAAAAAGTCCTGGTGTGGTGGCTCATGCCTATAATCTCAGCACTTTGGGAGACAGAGGCAGGAGAATCCCTTGAGCCCAGGAATTCAAAACCAGCCTGAGCAACACCCCATGTGTACAAAAAAATAAAAAGTTAGCTGGCCATGGTGGTGTACGCCTGTGGTCCCAGCTACTTGGGAGGCTGAGGTGGGAGAACTGCTTGAGCCCATGTGGTGGAGGCTACAGTGAGCCGTGGTCACGCTGTTGCACTGCAGCCTGGCCAACAGAGAGAGACCCTGCTTCAAGAA